AAGCTGCAGTGAAGCCTAGAACCAAACTCCTATGGCGCTGAATGTCTCCGTTTCGTTTTTCTAGTCACATATTAATCGTTCTACGATTGAACTATTTAACCTCTACAGGTTCTTTACTGCCAGCATTTGATCTCTAGAGGTCGTTTTCTGCCAGCCACAGAAACCTGGGATTAGCTGAAATGAATCCTAGGAGCACCCTACTATGAAGCTAATTTTAATTGCTTTGTTTTCTTCGTCAAACATTAATTGTTCTGGTATTGAACTATATACCATTTAAGGGCTTTTTGGGCGGAACACATTGTTACGCTGCACATTGCATTCGGCTTGGCCCACATCCCGTAAGCTGAGGTGATTCGACTCAGACATCCGCGAAAAAAGTTGAACATTGCCATTAGCACTCAGTTATTCCCACCATCGTCCCAGATTAGTACCTTGGAATTGCTCGCTCAAGACAAAAACCTTCTACCACGGAGTTTCAGGCAGCATAACACTGTGGCAGGGCATGTCAAAATTATAGCCCTCGTTTCAAGCGGACAGCCGAAACCGCCGAGCTGGAAAGGCTAATTAAAGCCAGCCGAAAACTGAATGTCGAGTTTGTGAATGCTCATGCAATCGACTCACGCTGCTTTGCGCAAGTGTAGTGACGGTGCGGCCTTTGCCGAGTCACCACTGCGCGCATTGCAGTGGTCTGGAGGGCTCACGAATGGCGTTCACGGATCAGGTTCACGAAGCGAACATGAGCACACCAATCCATAATATTTATTTAAAGGTAAGAAACTAATTAATACAGCACCATATTCAGCAATTGGCAGACCTTGCCAAGCAACTGAGCAAGTTGTGCGTGTGAATTGGAACTCGATGGTGCTCCAGAGGATGCACACCTAGTGCTATCTCGAGTCGACGGCATCGACATATTGTCATAGTGTCTAGGTTTCTTACTGTGTCTTACAACTCTATATTACTGAAACTTCATCTTAAAGCAACATTGACTGTTTTAGTACCTCGGGAATGCGGAGCTGGTAGTAGGAAATGAGCCCTTCCTCGTTCCGGCTGGTTCGCAGCACACCACAGCGCGAACACGAGCCCCATGCTCACTGAAGAACAGCTGACAGAATGCACTGATACGCATGATCAAAAGGCAACAACTAATTTCCTACACTGTCGTGTTTCGCGTTTCGCTTTCCAAGATGGGCTACTGGCTCCTAATATCCTTCAGCTGCTTCCTCCTCGGTGTTCGAGAACATGTGCTCTTCCAACCAGGGGGTGCAGCCACTCTTACGGTTGAGGCCGAACTCCCTCATAGTGGATCATTTGTGCAAAACCAGAAG